CTGGTAGGCTGTGGGGAAGGGAAAATATAGTGGGGCTGGGAAAGGACACCAGTCTGGGCTCCCCTCTGTGAGTGCCACCCCTTCCATTCCCACACACACACAGGGACAGCACTGGGAGGTTTGGATCAACGCACATGGGAGCTCACTCGGACCAGTGTCTGAGTGGGGAACTCCTGCCCTTAGGGCTCGAAGATGCTCAAGGGATCTCAAGGAGTTGGTATCTGCCTCCCCATGCTGAGATCCCTGCTCCCATGGGATCTCTGCACCCCTCTGCAGAACATCCCAGCATGGGATGCTCCCCACCTACCCAGAATGATGCCATTAGGTGCTGCAGGTGGTTGCAAGATGAGCCGCACCAAGGTGGTCCTCACTTCAGGGAAGAGGATCCCCACAGGGGGCCCAGGCACTGGATGGGGAGAGATGGGGTTCATCAGGTTGTGCCCAAGTGTGGGCAAAGTACCAGTTCCCATCTCCTGGGTATGGGAGCCCTGGTCAAGGGGAGAGGGATCACCCCAAGGAACAGGGATGGGATGAGCTTAGGCACGCAGGGAACCCACCCAGGTGCTCTCACCCACCATCATCCAGGGTCCTCTCGAGGACGGGGGGTCGGCTGGGCACACCATCACCCATCCTGGTGAAGGCCAACACCTGGATCTCGTACAGCGTGTACTTGCCCAGGCCAGTCAGCTGGGCACTGCGGGAGGCATTGCCCTCTGCCAGCCAGAACTGGGCACGTGCCTCCGAGCCCTTCTCCTTGTACATCACCTGCAACAGATTCCGTGTGACACTGCCGAGCAAGGCTAGCACCGACTGGCACAATTGTTGGGGGTGGCACAACTAGGGAACTGGCAGTCTGAGGGGTGATTCCCTGAGGGAAAGCCATGCTTCCCAAGGAAAGCCATGCTTCCCAAGGCTGCAGGGCACGGGCAGGGCTGCAGGCAGGAGCTCACCTTGTAGCCCAGGATGAGACCATTGCAGTCAGCCTCGGGAATGTCGCTCCATCGGACCATCAAGCTGCTGGAGGAGGTGGCCACTGCTGACACGTTGGTGGGGCCAGAGGAGGGCACTGGAAGGGGGTGACAGTGCAGGTCATTGGCAGGATTGACCAGAGTGGGTGACAGTGGGGGACAGTGGCCAGATCAGCCAGGATAGGTGCCCATCCCAGCGGGGTGGGCAGTGGTACCTGACTCCCGGGTGCGTCCCACCACGGAGTGGCTCCGAAGGCTTGGCCCTGCCCCCGGTACTCGGTCCACTCCTCCAGGTCCTCGATGGTGTACTCACGCTCCACGCGGTCGCGGATGACATGCACCGCTGGCTGCCCTCGCCCATCCGCGCGTGCATACCGGATCTTGTAACCCACAGAGTCAGGGTTCCCGTTGTACTCCTGCTCCAGGAGGGGCTGGAAGAGACAGGCATCACTCCTGATGTCCCACAGCCACCCCAGCTCCATCCCCCTTCAGTCCCCATCAGCCCCGTGCCCACCACAGAGCTGTGGTCCCCCCTCCACAGGCTGTTCTCGCTGGCGGTCCTCAGGGTGACATTGGCAGGTGCCAGGTCTGGGGGGGCCTGCAGGGTCTGGATCCTCCTGGAGGGCAGGCTGGGGGGGCTGGTGCCCACGATGTTCACCTGCCTCATGCGGAAACTGAGAGAGGAGATGGGGGTCAGGGTGGGGGTCAAGAGGGCTCCATTCCCTTGGGGATGACACCAAGGGGGGAGTTTTGGTGGGGTATGATCCCCTGGGAATGACACTGCAGCACCATCCTGGCCACTCGCCTGTAGTAGGTGTAAGGCTTCAGGTTGGGCACCTCCATGGAGCGGGTGTCGGGCTCATTAGCCAGCTGATGGACAAGCCCCCACTCTTCAGCCTCACCACTCTGGCCCATCTGTGGGATTGAAGTGGGGTGAGCTGCCCTCCAACACTCCTACACCCCCTTCTTCCTGAGCCCCCCTGTACCTGTGCCTCCACCTGCCAGCGAGAGATGGAGGTTTTGCCATCATAGCCTGGGCGAAACTGGAGGGTGACAGAGCGTGGACCAATGTTGGAGATGCCCAAGTTGGTGGGGGCACCAGGGAGCTCTGTGGGGACAGGGTAGTGTGGGTCACACTGTCCATTCGCCCCCAGCACTGCCCACAGCCCCTCAGCATCCCCACTCACCTGGGGGAACCCCTGAGGAGATGGTGGAGGAGGAGACCTGGCCCTGCCCCTTGGAGGTCATGGCAGCCACCTCGATGGTGTAGGTGGTGAGGGCGGTGAGGCCGGTGACACGGTACTCCAGGGTGACGTTGGGCAGGTAATGGGTGACCCGAGTGTTGGTGCGGTTGTACTCCTCCCAGGAGATCCGGTAGCCTGGAATACACTCTATGTGTCAGCCCCCTGCATTGCCCACCCCAAGAGGCTGAGTGGGGCCACAGGCTGATGGGATGGGAATGGGAACAGGAAGATGCTGCAGGATGGGAAAAGGACAGGTGGGTGATGCTGTAGGGGTGGAAAAGGAACAGGACAAAGGGGAGATGTTGTGGGCTGAGAACGGGACCAAGGAAAGATGCTGTGGGGAGAGAAGAGGACCAAGGAAAGATGCTGTGAGGTAGGAAGAGGACCAAGGAAAGATGGTGCAGGGTGGGAAGAGGACCAAGGAAAGATGCTGCAGGGTGGGAAGAGGACCAAGGAAAGATGTTGTAGGGTAAGAAGAGGACAGTGGGGAGATGCTACAGGGTTAGGCAGAGCATCTAGGAAAGATGCTGTGGGGTGGGACCAAGACCAGTGGGAGATGCTGCAGGGTGGGAAAGGGATGGAAGGTGTGGGAAGGGATGCTGGAGCCAGTACCTGCTAGTGCTCCCTTACCTGTCAGGATTCCGTTCTTCTCCAGCGGCTCCTGCCAGCTGACCTTCAGGGATGTATCCAGGATATCACTGAAGCTGAGGTGTCCCACAGGGCCAGGCACTGCCCAAAGACACCCAGGCTCAGCACCCACAGGACCCCCACAAGGAGCACGCATGAAAGGGGCTCCCCTTGGCTGGGGCTTCCCGGGGCTCAGCAGTGGGACCCAGTGGCCCATCTGGGGGCTGCTCCCCCTCCCCGGGAGCCGCCGGAGGGTGGTCAGGGTCCATCCCACAGAGCCCCCCCGTACCGTCCTCGTGGGTGCGCACCAGCTGGGGGGGGCTGCGCGGGCCGTCCCCCGGCGTGGTGAAGCACAGCACTGAGGTGAAGTACTCGGCAAATTTCCGCAGCCCTGCCACGTAGCCCACGTGGACGCTGTCCTGGAAGTTGGGCCGCACTGTCACCACCGTCGCCTCCTCCTCATGCTCTGGTTCCCAAGCAATCAGCTGCAGGAGGAAGGAGTGGGATGAGGATGTTGGGTATTCTACCCTGTAACATCTCTCTTTGGTGCCTGTCCCAACCCACCACGTGTCTCTCTGGTGCCCTTCCCACCCCACAGCATCTCTCCTTGGTCCTCTTTCCACCCCACAGCATCTCTCCTTGGTCCTCTTCCCACCCCACCACATCTCCTTGGTACTCTTTCCACCCCACATCTCTCCTCAGTGCCCTTCCCACCCCACCACATGACTCCTTGGTCCTCTTTCCACCCCACCAGCACCTCTCCTTGGTGACCTTCCCACCCCACCACATGACTCCTTGGTCCTCTTTCCACCCCATAGCATCTCTCCTTGGTGCCCTTCCCACCCTGTCCCATCTTCTCTTGGCCCGGTTACCACCATGTGGGCATCCCCACCATGCACATCCACACCACAAACACCACCCTCCGGGCATCTCCGTCCTCCTCTTATTAATTCAGAGTTGATTAAATATCAATTAATGGTGCGGTGAGTGCTCACTGCCTCTGCCAGCGCGCGCTGACGGAGCGTGTGCCGTGATTAACTCCATCGATAATGGCGTGGGATCACCCACTCGTTCGGGAGGGATGTTTGGGCATTTAATTGGTATTGTGCAAGATAGCCTATAGCAACTTAATTAAACACTAATTAGGCCCTAAAAATACTAATCAAAAAATACTAAGTGGCGTTTAATAAGAATGTTAAATATCCTGGTTATCTCATCCAGCGGCAATTAAATTCCCCAACTTCTTTGGAGTGGATTAAGACACAAGTTTAATGTTTTGATTCAATTTCATTAACGTAAATTTGAATTAATTGCAACTTGGAATTAATTACAGAGCATGGGAGACTCCGAGCCCAGGCAAGTGTTAAATCTCAGTACGTGTTAGTTTAGCAGTCAGGATGGAGCCAATTAAAATCTGGGATTTTGGTGAGGAGGAGTCCAGGCGGTTTGGGAAGGTTGACCAAGGAATTTCCCCCATCCAAGCTTCCCATTTTTGGGGGGATCTGCAGGAATAGCCCCTCACCTTGTAGCCCTGGTTGATGCCATTGATGAACTGGGGGCTGGGAGGGTTCCAGGTGAAGCGGATGGTGGTAGAGTTGGTGGCCTCAGCCTGCACATTCCCTGGGGGCACCGTGGGGACTGCCAGGATGAAGGGACAGCTTGCAGTAAGGTCCTGTCCACTGCCTAGTGCCAGCCGCCCAAGCACGCAGGGTGGTGCCCCTGCTTGGGCTCTGCAGCCCCTGCTCCTCCCTCCCCAGCATATTCCAGTCCCCGTGGGACCTCCAGACCCATCGTCCTGCCACCCAGCCCCATCACCCTCATGGCACAACCTGTTGCCATCTGAGCACCCACCAAACCCCTTCACATCCCTTCCCACGCTTGCCTGTCCCTGCCCACCCTTGCCCATCCCTGCCTACCTCCCTGCAGTGTCCACTCGGTCACCTTCATGCTGTAGACCCCCAGGCCAGCACTGTTGTACGCTGCCACCTCGATCTCATAGTTGGTCCAGATGATGAGGTCCTCCAGGAGCAGGTTGTTGACCTCGGCATTGGTGATGTTCTTGAACTGGTACCCCACGGGCAGCCCAGCCAGGCAGTACCTGTGGACCAGGTGCCATCAGAGCAGCCAGTGACCCCACCAACACCAGGGGTGGGACCCCAAGTCTGCCCCACTGTCACCTACCGGATGATGTAGCCCTTGAGGACACCATTCTGGTGACTCTCTGGGGGTGGCTGCCACTGGATCATGATGGACTGGTTGGTGCGGCCACTGGCGATGACGTTCTGAGGGGGTGCAGAGGGAGGTTCCTCGGGCAGGGATACTCTGTGGGGACGAGGCAGGGTGAGTCCACAGGGCCACCAGCTCCTCCAGCTCCCCTGGGACCCCCAGCTGTGGCTCACCTCTCCGTGTCCTTGCTGAACTGTCCCCTGCCCACGTCATTCACGGCACAGAGGCGGAACTGGTAGGAGCGAGCGGGGACCAAGCCCCGCACTGTCACCGATGTCACCTCAGGGTCCACGCTGGCCAGCAGCACAGTCCAGGGGGCATCTGTGGGGGGAAAAGGAGGCAACAGGATTGGGGACCCTGACCCGCAGGATGCTGGGGTCTCCTGCCCAGCTGATGAGTCCTGGGGTCCCCAAGCTTTCCACAGCATCCCCTGCCCTGGGGTGATGCTGGGGTCTGGACTTTGCCATCTGGGGGTGGGAGCAGATTCCTTACTGTTCTCGGAGACCTCCACGATGTAGCGCAGCAAGGGGCTGTTGCCATCGAAGGGCTTGGCCCAGGTGAGGTTGATGGCCCGTTTCTCCTGGGGGCTCAGGGCGGCCACGGGGCTCTCAGGCGCGTGGGGGAGCTGCCTGGACAGGGGGGTTAGGGAGAGAGTGGGCACAGCCCGGGGCACGGGGTGCCAGTGGGGACGAGGGGGGTCTCACCGGACACGGAGGTGGGCACTGCGCGAGTCGTTGCCCCCGGCTGAGATGACTTTGCAGGTGTAGGTGCCAATGTCACCCGACCAGGTCTGGGTGATGTGGAGGGTACCTGCCTCGTCCAGGCGCACCCGTGGGCCACTCTCAGGGCCCAGCGGTGCCCCATCCTTCTCCCAGACGTACCTGTGCCAGGGTGGGGACACCCAGGTGTGCTGGTGCCCTGCATCCCCCTCCAAGGAGAGGGAACCAGGGGTTCCCTGTCCGCAGGGCACCAGGTGGCACTGCAGGACAACCAGCGCAGAGCCAGGGATGGAGGCAGCCCCTACCTCCCTCCCCAGGCATGCAGCAGCGGTGACAACAGGCAGGTAAGCAGCCTGGGGGTGCCTGAATCTTCCCAGCCCTGTCACACTCACCTCACGTTCACGCTGGGGTCGTGGGTAACTCCACAGCTCATGACAGCCTTGGTCCCCTTGATAACACTCTGGTCCTGTGGTGGGTCTGTGATACGTGTCCTGGCTGTGGGGGGACAATGTGAGCCAGGGGCACTGCCCAGAGGTGTGCAGGGGTGGCACTAGCAGGGACAGCTCCTATTTACAGCATC